GTATTCCTGCAGATGTCTTTAATATGACACTGGTGGGGGAAACATTAGGAAAGCATATCTTCCCACAGAGCTGTGTGCGGCCGGGGTGAAACGAGGACACAGCCAAGGAGAGAGGGGGAGAGAGGGGCTATGGGCCACAGCTGCGCCTCCGAACACTATTGTAACCCTCTGCTTGTCAGATGTTAGTAAAAGTGACAGAAGTATCTCAATCGTGGACTAGGAGGAAATCTATACATAGAGGAGAGGTCACATTACCACATCTGCATGTCAGTCTGACACTACGTACACACTTCATGACTCCCTGCGCCTACAGCCCGAGCTTTCCCACGGCCGAAGTATCCAGAATTGTAATCTCTTTTTATGATGTGACGCGTTTCTAAGTTTCCATGTGGCATCCCAGTCTTTTTTTTAAATTAATAAATAACAAACTGTCTGTCCTGGGAAATGAATCATATACACTGAGTGGCCAGTTTATTATGACCACCTGACGTTTGTAGGCAAATTAGCTATAATTAGTCCAGCAATTTGGCAGTGTCTGGGCTGGGCTTATATAGGGAAGTGATGATTGAAGTTTGAGGTCACTTCCTGTGCGCCTCCTGGGCATTTTCCCGCCTTTTTCCATCAGGTTGAGGTCACTTGCTGTGCGCCTCCTGGGCATTTTCCTGCCTTTTTCCATCAGGTCTTCTGCGCATGTGCGGGTTGGTGCACTGACACGTCTTTGGCGCATGCGCAGTTGGCGCGGATTTCCTCTTGCGTCAACGCGCCATTGGCGCATGCGTAGTAAGCCCTACACTCTTACAAAGAAGCCCTAGACTCTTACAAAGACAACAGAAGGACAACAGTGCAGTGTCAGATTCCTCGCATCACCTTTCAACATCACGTGGAGTCACGAGACGGCCCAACAAATTAATCTGTGGAGTTATCTCGTTGCCCAACGAAGTACTGAAGGGGTGGTCATAATAATCTGGCCACTCAGTGTAGATCTCAGCATGTGCTAGCAAGCATGACCGGCTTGGCCCCGCCTTTAGTTCCACCCAGACATGTCAAATTTATTTTGTTCCGAATTGAAATTTTCGGACGAATATCTGTACATTCAGACGTTCACGTGCATCCTGATGGAAAAAATAATGAACTCTAAACGAACACGAATTTTGTGGTACAAAAAATTTTTGGAAGCAATCCAAAAAAAAACATGGTGTCCCTTTCAAAATTCCTACCAGACTCTTACGGTCTGATAGGAATTTTAGGTGGGACCTCAATGCCAAAAAACACACACAAAAAAAAGCTGGAGAGGAAGCTGTTCCTAAGGACCTGCAGTGCAAGGATCTCCCTGCTTCTGCTTCATCCATTCTGTGGATCTGCCGTGTGAGATCTAAGGCACTGCTGCCTCTGACTGATAGTCTCAGCAGATGTGGAGGGAGATTTGGTGATGTCAGATTCACTGTTCTCCTTGCTGGAGAGGAAGCTGTACCTGAGGACCTGCAGTGCAAGGATCTCTCTGCGACCTCCACCTCTCCTGCAGCTTCTGCTTCATTCATTCTGTGGATCTGCAGTGTGAGATCTAAGGCACTGCTGCATCTGACTGCTCATCTCATCAGATTTGGTGATGTCACCGCTATGCTGCTCACTGTTCTCCTCGCTGGAGAGGAAGCTGTTCCTGAGGACTTGCAGTGCAAGGATCTCCCCACTTCTGCTTCATCCATTCTGTGGACATGTGCTTCCCCCATCTCTTCTGCTGCTTCATCATCATCTAAGGTACTGCTGCCTCTGACTGCTAGTCTCCAGGCTTTTGGGGAGAGGTTTGGTGATGTCACTACTGTTTTGCTCACTGTTCTCCTTGCTGGAGAGGAAGCTGTACTTGAGGACTTACAGTGCAAGGATGTCCCTGCTTCTGCTTCATTCATTGTGTGGATCTGCTGTGTGAGATCATCTAAGGCACTGCTGCCCCTGACTGCTCGTCTCATCAGATGTGGAGTCAGATTTGGTGATGTCACTACCTCTTCTGCTCACTGTTCTCCTTGCTGGAGAGGGAGCTGTACCTGAGGACCTGCAGTGCAAGGATCTCCCCGCTTTTGCTCAGGTCCAATGTACAACATGGACATCTATGGGCACTAAAACATTCTGTCATTGTCATACATGTGTCACATGTCCCGGCTGGGACATTATTAGAGATTGCTCCGTTTCCTCGCAGGAAAGGGAATAATTTTTCTACCCTGCAGGTGCCCAATCTGAGGAGAGAACTACAAGTGACAGGTCTGCCTGTGTATGGGCTGACCGTCATAATGAAGGCACGCCGTGATCAGTAAAGATCTCTCTACCAGTTTGTGTCTTAACGTCTTACATGAACGTTAACGTCTTTTAAGAAGTCATTTTTAATATCTGTAAAATATGTAGCTATCGGCTATGACTAAAATAATCTCCGGTGATCCTGCCACAGAGGTCCTTCTTCAGGAACTTCCTGTTATAGGTTGACACCGCTCTCTCCCTGTCTACAAATTGTGCTCCTGTGTTGTCACCCTGGCACATGGGCCACCAATAGAGAATACAAGTGACCGCTTCAATATAAATGACACAGCCATAGTCCACTGAAATGCCAATGCTGAGGTGCACGTAGGCAGGAAGTGACTGCAAAGACGTTGCAAGAGATCAGCAGCACTGAAAGGCAACAAAAGCTGAAAGGAAGGATTTTATTTACAACGTAGAAAAAAACTGCAATTGTTTACAATGCGCAGAGCTTTAGCAAAATACATTTCATCCCGTTAGGATTTAATAGTGAGGCTTAGTGCAGTAAATGTTAGTAAATATTGTTGTCACTCGGCGGGAGATGAAAACCATTTGTCAGCCTTTAACTAACGTGTACAATGTATAATATCTGATTGAAAACAAACATGAAAATATATATTTTTTTACATTTTTAAGCCTAAATAAAAAATAAACAAAAAATAAAGACATTTCCTTCAAATTAATACAGTTTTAGGGTGGTAAATGTGATATATTATTTTATAATATTTAATATTCACCTTTTTAAAAGCAAATATGAAAATATTTTATTTTTAAGCCTAAATAAAAAAAATAATTAAAGAAAAATACACATTTCCTTCAAATAAATACAGTTTTAGGGTGGTAAATGTGATATATCAATGTA